ACTGTCCCATGTTCCCTTTCCAGGGAACACTCACAGTGACCTACAATCTCCCCAAAGCACTATTTCTTAAAGGTTTCCATCACCTTCCAGCAACACCAAGCTAAGGACTAAGGAAGCCATTATCGCATGGGCCTTTGAGACGTATTCCAGATCTAAACTATTAGCAATAATTAAAATCATTAGTAGCTTGATCAGCCTTAGAAAGTTGGAGTCCATGCTTTGTCAGCTCATACAAAGTCTATTTTTGCCATGTTGTCACTCCATTTATGCAATGGTATAAATTTCCTAGAGCTACCATAAGAAAGTACCATAAACTTGGTGCTGTAAGTTACAGAAATTTATTGTCTCAGTTCTGGAGTCCAGAATTCTAAGGTCAAAGCATCAGCAAGGTTGGTTCCTTCTGAAGGCTCTGAAGGAGAATCTATTCCACCTCTCTCTTCTATTTTCTGATGGTTTCCTGGTAATCTTTGATATAAATAAATTGTATCACCCCAATCTCATCCTTTATCTTCAGATGATGTTCATGCTGTGCATCTTCACAGGAGTACTTGTTTATAAAAGAACACCAGTCATTCTGAATTAGGGGTCCATCCTATTCCAGTAATGATCTCAGCTGGTGACATCTGCAACTATCCTATTTCCAAATAATGTTATTCTGAGGCATTGGAGATTAGGATTTTTAAAATGTTTTATTAGGGTATGTTTATAATACATAATGATTACACTTATCATGGAGAGTTTGCACAGGTACATAACACATCTTAATACTTTTTGTGGTCCCTTCCCTCCCTGCAACTTTTCTTCCCCTTCCCTTGCAAAAGCTTTATTTCCATTTTTCTTCAATTCTCTTTTTTAAAAAATTAAGTTTATTGGTATATATTGGGTATACATTATGATCACATTCATTATTGGGAATTTGTACCTGTACATGATATATCTTGGTCAATTCTCTTTTTTAAAATCTCTTTTCCCTTCCTTCCCTCCTCCTCTCTGCATCTGTTGTTCTTCCCATTTGAAAAAGATCTCCTTACTTCCTATTATCTACCGTTTATTTTGCTCTTTATTTATACTTTGGGTTTCTCATATAAGAGAAAGCATACAATATTTAAAGTTGTGTGTCTGACTTATGTCACAACATTTTGGTCTCGAGGTCCATCCATTTACCTACAAATGTCTCAAGTTTATCCTTCTTTCTGGCAGAGTAGTACTCCATTGTATTACCAAGTTTACATTGGTATTACCATTGTAATACCATACCATAGTTTTTCTTTTTCTCTTCTTCTTTCTTCTCCTTCTCCTTCTCCCTCCTCCTCCTCCTCCTCCTCCTCCTCTTCTTCTTCTTCTTCTTCTTCTTCTCCTTTTTTTTTTTGTACAGGGATTGAACTCAGGACCTTGCACTTGTGAGGCAGGTGCGGTGCCACTGAGCTAAATCCCCTTCCCAATACCTTAGTTTCTTTATCTATTCATCTGTTGATGGCATATGGACTGTTTCCAAGATTTAGCTATTATAAATTGTGCTGCTATAAACATGGGTGTGCATGTATCACTGCAACGTGATGACTTTTAACTCTTTTGGGATGATACCTAGAATAGCTGGGTCAAATAGAATTTCTAATTTTAATTTTTTGAGGAATCTCCATACTGATTTCTATAGGGACTGTACCAGTTTACACTCCCACCAACAATGAAGAAAATTCCCTTTTTCCCTGCAGTCTTCCCAGCATTTGTTATTGGTTGAATTCTTGATGATAGCATTCTTTGTGGAGTGAGATGAAATCTCAGTGTTGTTTCCATTTGCATTCTCAAATGGCCACCAATGTTGAACATTTTTTTCATATATTTATTGGCTGTTTGTACTTCATCTGAGAAGTATCTGTTCATTTCAGCTGCCCATTGTTTGATTGGGTCTTTAAATTGGGGTAGTCTAATTATTTTAGTTTTTTATATACTCTAGATATTAGTTCTTTGTCTGAGGAGCAGCTTGCAAAATTGTTTTCCCATTTGGTAGGTTGTCTCTTCACTCTGCTGGTGGTTTCCTTTGCTGTGCAGAAGCTTTTTAATTTGATGTGATCTCATTTGTTTATTCTTGGTATTATTTCTTGTGCAACCAGGGTTCTGTTCAGAAAGTCTTTGCCTACACCTATGTCTTCAAGAGTTTTGCCTATTTTGTCTTCTAGCAGATTGTTTCTGTTTCAAAATTTAGATCTTTTATACATTTTTAGTTTAGTGCATGATGAGAGATATGGGTCTAGATTCAGTCTTGTGCTTGTGGATAACCTGTTTTCCCAGCACCATTTGTTAAGGGTGTTCTTTCCTCCACTGAAAGGATTTGGCCCCTTTGTTTCAAAAAATGGAGGGAACTGTAGGTCAGTGTGCCTGGAGTTGTTTCTTCATTCTCTGTTCTGTTCCATTGATCCACAAGTTTGTTTTTATTTTGTTCCAATACCATGCTTTTGCTTTGTAGCTTTGTAGTATAACTTGAACTCCAGAATTGTGATGCTCCCTGGCTTCTGGCCCTTGTTACCCAGAATTGCTTTTGCTATTCTAGGTCTTTTCTGGTTCTACATAAATTTTAGGAGTGCTTTCTGTAGTTCCGTGAAGAATGCTATTGGTATTTTGATTGGGATTACATTAAATCTGTATAAAAATTTCAACAGTATGGCCATTTTCACTATATTGGTTCTGGCTATTCAGGAACAGGGGCTATCTTTCTATTTTTCTGATACCCTCTTCAATCTCTTTCAGAATACTATAGTTTTCATTGTAAAGATCTTTCACTTCCTTGGTTAGGTTAATTCCTAAGTACAGTATTTCATTTTTCTCAATGCTATTGTGAAAGGTATTTTTTCCCTAATTTCTCTTTGTTGGTTATTGGTGTAGAGGAACACTATTGATTTTTTTTGGCGGGGGTACCAGGGATTGAACTCAGGTCCTTGTGCTTGCACAGCAGGTGGCAAAACCACTGAGCTAAATCCCCGGCCCACACTATTGAGTTTTTTGAGTGTTGACTTTGTGTTCTGCTATGCTACTGAATTTGGTTATTAATTCTAAGAGTCTTTTGGTGAAGTTTTTAAAGTCTTCCATGTAGAGGATCATGTCATCTGGAAATAATTTAATTTCTTCCTTTCCTATCCATATTCCTTTTTTTCTTTCTTGTCTGATTGCTGTTTCCAGAACTATATTGAATGGGAGTGGTGATAGTGTATATCCTTGTCTTATTCCTGATTTTAGCGGGAGAGCTTTCAGCTTCACTCCATTTAGTATAATGTTGGCTGTTGGTCTGTCATAGAAAGGGTTTTATCAGATTGAGATAAAGACCTTCTATTTCCATTTTCTTCAGAGGTATCTTATCATGAATGGATGTTGGATTGTGTCAAATGCCTTTTTTGTGTCTATTGAGATGATCCTTACTTTTTGTCCCTTCTGTTTATGTGGTGTAGTAAATTTATTGATTTGCAAATATCGAACCATCCCTACATCCCTGGAATGAATCCTTACTTGGTCATGGTGTATGATCTTTTTGATAGTTTTCTGCATTATGTTTGCCAGTATCTTATTGAGGATTTTTGCATCTATGTTCATTAAAGAGATTGGGCTATAGTTCCTTTTTGTTGTTGTTGGATTTTTTTCTGGTTTTGGAATCAGGGAAATACTGGCTTCCAGGAATGTCTTTGGGAGTATTGCTTCCCTTTCAAGTTCATTAAAGAATTTGAGGGGTATTGGTGTTAAATCTTCTTTAAAGAAAGTTCTTATAGAATTCAGCAGTGAATCTGTCAAAACCTAGGCTTTTCTTAGTTGGTAGTTTTTAAAATTCCTTCTTAAATTTCATGGACTAATACTGGATTATTTAGGAATTTTTTTATGTCCTTGGATCAGCTTTGGCAGTTCATAGGTATCTAGGAATTTATCTATTTCTTCTTAATTTTCCATTTTATTAGAGCATAGTTTCTCAAAGTAGCTACCAATGATCTTCTGGATTTAGGCAGAATCTGTAGATTTCACCTTTTTCATTTCTAATTTCATTGATTTAGGTCTTTTTTTTCTAATTTAGGTAAGATTAGATAAGAGTTTGTCGATTTTGTTTAATCTTTCAAAGAACCAACTCTCCAATTCATTGATTCTTTACAATTCCACTCTGATCTTTGCAATTTCTTTCCTCATACTGGCTTTGGATTTGGATTGTTCTTGTTTTTCTAGGACCTTAAAGTGCATCATTAGGTTATTTATTTGCGCTCACTCTGGTTTTCTGATGTGGGAATTTACCACTATAAACTTCCCTCTTAGGACTGCTTTCCTTGTGTCCCATAGGTTCTGGTATGTTGTACTAGCATTATTGTTTGATTGTAGGTATTAATTTTCATCTGTGACCCATTGATTATTCAAGACAGTATTATTTAATTTCCATGTGTTTGCATAATTTCTGTGGTGTCTTTTGCCACTGATGTCTAGTTTCATTGCATTATGATCTCATAATATGCATAGGGTAGGGGGTTAGGATTTTAATGTATGAACTTGGAAGGAGAAGTGCCCATTCAATCTATAACATGCACATCATGCTTGTTTCAAGGTGGCCAATGACTAAGTCCTGAAATATCAACTAGTCAACCCATTTCGCTTACTTCGTTGTAGTGCCCCTCCATGGTAGATGCAAGATACGGTACAACAATACAAACACTTCATGTCTACTCATGTATATTCATTCACATACTCTACCCTAGACCTCCTTGTCATTGATCTGTTAGTGGTTTAGTTCCAGGACCCCTTCAAAAGAGCCAAATCATTGACTCTTGCCCAAGAATCTACACATATTCTAGCCAGGTTGTGGTGCATCCCTATAATCCTAGCACTTGGGAGGCAGAGGCAAGAGGATATCTCAGAGTTCAGTGCCAGACTGGGCTACATAGTGAGTTCAAGGCCAACCTGAACTACATAGTGAGTCAAACACACACACACATACACACAATCTGTACATATCCTACTTTGGTCTGGTTCTTTCATACCTAAAGTAGATGATCTGGGACAATGCTGGTAGTTCCATCCACTGGGAAGATTTTCTATTGTCTGTCAAAATAATTGAAGAATATTGTTATAGCCACACTATGGTAATGTGTACTTATAGTTCCAGCTACTCAAGGGCCTGAGGCAAGTACTTGGTAGGCTGAGGCAGACTACTCAGGAGGTTGAGGGAGGAGGACTGTTTACACCCAGGAGTTAGAGGTCAGTCTGGGTACCCTTCTTTAAATAAACAGAAAAACTGAAAACTGATAAAATATTATAAAGCAGGCACCATCTAATTTTGGCTTGCACCCATATGCTAAGCTGATTTCTTTTTTTTTTTGGTACCAGGGATCAAACTCAGGACCTTGGGCTTGCGAGGCAGGTGCCGGAACCACTGAGCTAAATCCCTGGCCCTAAGCTGTTTTCTGCATGAATCAAACTTCCCTCCTTCTTCAATTGGTCATGGTATTGGTGCAGCTATTTTGGTGGATGACATGATGGTTTGGGCTATCTAGCTATGCAGCCCTCTGATTTGCTTGGGATTGTTCCCAGATATGTCATTTCCATCTTATAGTACATGCTCCTGGTCCATCTGAACCAGTAGAGCAAGTCCATAGGCACTGCTGGACTTGTGGGTCCTCAGTACCATATGGTTAAGTGTTTTGTTTCTACCAATGTCCAATATCACAGTAGTTTCTTCCAAGTGTGTAATTCTTTGTTGCAGATGCTATGGCCTTGCTCCAGAATCCCAGGGACCTCACTGTGGTTTTCCCACTGTGGCTTATCATAAGCTGTGTCTTAGTCTGCTCTGCCTGCCATACAAAATACCGTAGACCAGTGGCTTATGCAACAGAAATTTATTGTCTTAATATTATGGAGACTGGAAATCCAAGATCAGGGTGTCAGCATGGTGAATTCTGGTGAAGGCTCTCTTCTTGTATTGCAGACCGCTGTCTACTTGCTGTGTCTTCCATGATAGGGGACGCTCTCTGATGGTGCTTATGATAAGGGGATTAATTCTCTCACAAGAGCCATACTGGCAAGACCTCATCTAACTCTAACTTGCCAAAATCCTTATCTCCAAATAGCATCACACTGACTCTTAGTGCTTTAACATATGTATTTGGGGGGCATAAATCTTCAAGCCACAAGTTCTGTCTCTTGTCCTCAAGTTCTTGTCCTTCTCATATCCAAAGTAGTACATTCAACTCATCCTAACAACCCCCCAATCTTACCTTATTCTAGCATTATCTCCAAAGTCTCAAGTCAAATGTCTTCTCTAAACATCATTTAAATTAGATATGTGTGAAACTTGAGGTAGGATTCATCCTTAGACAAAGAATCTGTGAAATCAGATAAGTTATATACTTCCAAAATACAACAGTGGGAAAGGAATAGGATAGACATTTCCATTCCAAAATGGAGAGAAACAGGGAAGAAGGACAGGTCCCAAGTCCCAAACTTAGCAAGGCAAATCCCATTGGCTCCTAAGGCCTAAGGATGACACTCAGGTTCCATGCTCTGCCCTCCGTGCCCACTAGGGTATTGGTACCATCTCTAAGACTCTGCTTAGCCAGTATCCTTTCCCACCTCTTCAGAGTACTGGTGCCCTCAAGGCTTCAGGTAGAGGTCATCTGGCCTGTTGAAACTAAGGCAGTGACTGATGATTTCCGAATTGTCTTAAGGGTCATTTTCCCTCTTCCTGAAGAACAGTACATGTTCACACCAAAATATTTCCAGTGTCTGTTGAATCCAAAAAGTCCAACCACTTTCATTTATTTCATCCAATCTTCAACACCTTCACCTAGAACTGTCAATGTTTCAACTCATATAATCCCATAAACTCTATTCAGCGACAGTCTGAACACAACCCTGGTGTTCTTTGAACTTGTTCTTTTCGTTGTTGTTGTCGTTTTGCTTTGTTTGTTGTTGTTGTTGTTGTTAGTTTTGCAATATGAATAGGCTGAGTGCTACAGTTTGGGTCTTTATTGTTTCCCAAAGGTCTATGTGTTAAAGACTTGTTCCCCAGCCCTCTTTAAGAGGTAGGGCCTAGTGGGATACCTTGGGCCACTGAGGATATGCCCTTGGAAAAGATAATGAAAACCCAATCCCTTCCTCTTTTTTTCATTTCTGGCCACAAGGTGAATGGTTTTACTGTTCCATGGACTCCCTGCCATTATGTGTTGCCTCAGCACAAACTCAAAAGCAACTGGGCCAAACGATAATAGACAGAAACTTCTAAAACTATAAGCCAAAATAAACCTTTTCTCTTCATAAGTTTATTGTATCACATATTTGTTACAGTGATGGAAAGCTGATTAAATACACTGAGGGTTTTCCAAATCTTCAAGTTTAGGTTCCTTCTCTCTCCTAATAATTCTTTTAATTTATCTGACTCCTGTACAAAATTTAATTCATCTGACACTTTGTACAAAACATTGGAACCCAGTTCAACCATGGTCTTTTCCACTTTATAAGAATCACCTTTCCTCTGATTTCCAACATTTTCTTCATTTCCACCTGAAACCTCAACAAAATTTCCCTTAATGTCCTTATTTTTAGCATGTACCTCAAAACTCTTTTACTCTTTGTACCATTACCTAGTTCAAGTTCCATGACTCCTTCTACATTTTTAGGTATTAGTCACAAGAGCTTCCAACTCCTGGAGGTATATTTATATACACAGTGGTATATTTATATACACAGTGTTCACGAACACTTTTGTTTGCAAACAATGTAGTTCACAAACAGAAGTGTTTGGCAAAATTTTTTGTTTGCAAACCTGCATAGGGTGACAAACACAACTGTGGCTATCTTTCACACACAAATACAAATTTGGTCATCTTTCCCAAAATTGTGGAATAAATTAAGTTCATAAATATATTTATATTATATATATATAAAATAAAGAATTTGCTGGTATGATTATACAAATTGACATATCCTAAGATCTGTAATCAACAGGTGTGGAGATCCAGGAGAGCCAATGTATAATTCTAGTTCATGTCTGAAGGCCTGAGAATCAAGAAAGCCAATCATGTAAGTTCAAGCTGGAAGGCTTGAGACCCCCAAAAAGTTGATGCTTCAATCCAAGTCTAAAGGCCAGGAAAGACCAGTGTCCCAGTTTAAGAAGTCAGGCAGGAGTTCCCTACTTAGCTTTTCTGTTCATGCTTTCAGTTGATTAGTTGAGGCCCATTTACAAAGAGAGACTACACGCTTTATTGAGTCTACCAATTCAAATGTTAATATCACCCAGAAACACCCTCACAGACATACCCAGAATAGTATTTGATCAAATATCGAGGCATCCTATGGCCCAGTCAAAATTAACCATCACAAGCTCCAAATCACATGTTTTCACACCTTCGAGTCTATTGGAATATATGGCCCAGGTCATGTTTAGGGGCTGGCTTCTACCATATGCCAGGGTAACTCAGACACTTCTACTTTGCTACTCTTGCCAGATCTTGCTGGTCTTTATGACAATTGGGCCTCCTGGATTCTGGTGACTATACACCATGTGGCCTCTATGACTTGGGAGGATGTGTAGGGTGGTATCATTACCATAGTTATGAATGAGCTCCAGCTCTGTGATTGCTTCTCTAAATGTCAGTCCAGGATTGTAGCAAACTTCTTAGTGATGCTGTTACTACTCTTTACAAGATCATTTTAATGGCCTTGGTGAATGATGTATCTTTTGGATCCTTCTGTGAAACATAATGAACTGACCCTACACATACTATACCAATTCCAGAATACCCATTTCCTGATCTTTTTATTCACTCCTCTACCACAAATCAGGGAAACTCAAGAAACTGCTACTTTGCTGAGCACTGGCTATCACTGTCTCTAGGTTTCTGTAATTCCTCCAGCAGTAAGTTTGTTTCATTCTCCTAAAGTCCTTGCCAGGGTGTTAAATCCTGTATCTCAAGAAGTATCTCCAAGGCCAGGGATTTAGCTCAGTGGTTTCACTGCCTGCTGCGCAAGCCTAAGGACCTGAATTCGATCCCAGTATCTCCAAGTCAATGAATCTTGATGATCTAGTTTTATATTCTATCTCCTCTGGTCAAGTAATCATAGAGAGGTTACTAGGTCTTCCTACAGAAGAAGATCACCTTTGCAAGCTCTGAAAGTACACAGAAATCTGCAAAACAAATATCGTTAAGGGTGTCCTACCAGATGTTCCATCACTTGTTTCAGTCTCTAGCTTTTTCAACAGAGCTCTGATTTGGCTGCACATTTATGTATGTATGTATTTATTTATTTATTTGTTTGTTTGGGGGTTTTTTGGCTGCACATTTAAATGTCTATGGAATTCTGTGACTCTATCATGTCTTGAGTTTGGCTCAACTGTGTCAGTTCTTCCACTGCAAGAGATAAATCTTTTTCGTAAGCTACTAAATTGACCCTCTCTCTTTTCTAATTAGCCATTCACCAAGCGGGATCCTGGCTTTCTTATCTTTCTTCAAAGTTTCAATACAACTTAGCAGTAACCAGACGAGCACACTGTCCCAACAGGCATCCCCCCACCATATTTCAAATATCTGAAATTATACCTGCAAGGGCTTTTCCCCTACTGGGAAAAATGATGAACCTTTCAGAACTTGGGTCCCTTCCTTGTCCTAGGAACTACCCATGTACCTATAATACTTAGGATGCCATTCTCTTTGCCCAGGAAATAGTAAGTCAGTCCTGAAGCCCCATTTTGTTTTCTTGGATCTGTCCTAGCAGATCTTGTGTTAGTTTAGATTCTCTGAGAAGCAAATGCCAAGGTGGAATTTGACATGTATTAGTTTCCTAGGGTTGAACAACAGAAGTTTATTTCCTAGGTTTGAACAACAGAAATTTATTTCTCACAGTACTAGAGGCTAGAAGTCCAAGGTCAAGGTATCAACAGGTTTGGTTTCTTCTGAGGCCTCTCTCCTTTGTTTGCATACAGCCATTTTCTCACTGTGCCTTCACATTGTCTCTCCTCTATATACATCTGTATCTGATATCTGGATATCCTTTTGTGTATGTGCATTTGTGTTTATGTTACTACAGATTGAACCTAGGACTTCTGC